TTATCTCTCGGCGCGTTAATTTTGCTCTTGCCTAGAGATTTTCTTTTTTTTTTCTTTGCGTACGTGTGTGCATTACAAGATGACACGGAGCGTGTTTTGTTAATAATTTTCATTATTTAATGTTGTTTCAACCACTTTTCGATGGCATACATAAGTTGAAACGACAGATTTCGCGATTCATTCCACAGAATTCATCATCGACGAATCCATTGACGGTACGCATAAAGTAAACCAGAAAAAGATTTTTCGTACGTGTGTGATACCCGACACAGCCAATACGTTACAAACTTTCGTGTAAACAAATTTACATAGACCTCCGAAGCATGTGGTGATAACCGGTTTAGCAAATATTTGATTTCTATTCGCCAGGAGGATAAACTTCACGCTGGTTGTACTTTTTCCAATATTTGAAAGCTCGCGCACATTTCCCGCCTATCGATTCCGGTTAATTTCTGCGTTTCATATTTTTCGTTGTTCAGTCGCGGACGCACGCGTTGATAAAAATTGATTTTTATTTTGTTGCATACGCGCGTTCACTTTTCGTCCAGTGTGTGTGTGTGTGTGTTCGCGTTGCACGCGTCGCTCGCACGCTACGACCGAGAAAACGGGCATGCTCCAGTTGCACGCGAAAACTTCGACATCGAGTTCCGATATTTCGACGAAGTTTTTCGAAATACTCGTTCTGCCGATCGGTACTTTTCGAACAGGAACTAAATATTTCGCCTGCGTCGTACCAACAAGACGCTTCGATGGTTCGAACGTGGCATAAAATCGTTTAAGCAGAAACGTCGAAATCTTTTGACAAATACTCAACAACTTCCTATCCGCAAATTTTTGGTCGGCCAGTGGTTTCCTTTGTGGACTTTAATTTCAACTCTCAGCCGGTGTCATTGAACGTTGGATCAAATTCGAATCAATTTGAAATTTTTAATTCGATGACTTTTGTTACTGGTATTACGGAGAATGTTAAGTACAATTTTAAGGAAAAGAAATTTTGACAATATTTAACACCTTTGTACTCTCGTGAATACAAATTTTTGATCATTCGCTGGATAATGTTTTTCATATGTAGAACATAATTTTAGTCATCAATTGGTCTCGATTAAATTACTTAATTTTGGGATTTTTAATTTACTGCAATTTTCATTTCTATTTTTGATAAGTGATTTTGGTAAAATCCAAAGTAAAATTAAACACAAAACATTTTAGTAATCTAACATAAATTACTACTATATAATTTATGTAATACATATACAACAGTGACAAAAGTTTCTGGCTAAGAATTTATTCAATCATTAAAATGAAGAGTTTTTGAAAATGAAAATCTACTTTGCAAATATAGCGTGCACTGCATCTTATAAAATACAATATCATAAAAATTTTTGTAAAAAGAGTTTTATTGACATACAGTTTGAAATAAAATTTCACTCTAGATGAGAAAACTTTGTGCCATCGAAATGTATAATATTTAATAATATTTTTAATTTTTGCCATTTATCATTCGACAATCACTGATACTTTTAACTACCTTCTGATTTTCTAATACCCTAACTAATATCTAGTTAGCAGTACTGTGATTGTAGATAGAATCTTCTTTGACAAGAAAATCCAGGACTGTTTTATTGAATTCATGATCTTTGAAAATACCCGGTCGTTTTTGGTCCACGTTACTCTCGATTGTTCGTAAACAGAATCATAACTCTCGGCATATCTAGCGATAAGCCAATCTAAATCAACGCTCTTTCGAGATCACAATCCCTCGCTGGTAATTTCATTGGAATAAACTTTATCCTCGGAGATGAAATTCGAAAATACGATTTTGACATTTCTTATGAGACGCTTCTTACTTTATTCATAATATTATTATATATATAAAGGTAATTGGTACAAGTCAATTGCTATTAATTATAAATTATTACGTTCAGTTTCTTCAAATATCTTTTTCTTTCTGCAACACTTGTAGGGCGTAAATCATTTTTAAATGGACAATAACTTACACTGGTTAGCTTCTGAGCTCCGCAATGATATTATTTTTATTAATCTACTTTATATTTCTTATTAATTTACTATATATATTTAAATATTGTTTAATTATTTAATACTAGTGCTACTCTATTTTCGACCAAACGCAAATATTTTGAAGTATTAGAATTTTTGTTTTGCGTTTGATCGGAAGCTTTTTATCAAGAGTAGTATTTAATTACTTATTTAAATTATTTAAACATATTTAATAGATACTGTTATAATACTATTATTTTTTACTAGTCCACCGAGAGTAATAAATTCTTTTTTGTACAAACTCGCGACGAATTCGCGACTAATGTATGCAACGTTTCGTATACAATGTGAAACAAGGATATCCAGACGGTGGAACATGCGAATTTTCACAAGCAAAATATATGAACGATGTAAAATCACAGTTTAAAAGTATCACCGACAGAAGTTTGCGGTAGTTCCACGCTCTATTTCACGCGAGAAAACTCGTCGACGATTTTTCACGAAAATGAAATGTCATACGAAATGAGCGCGCGGTACATCCGCAACTTGCTTTTGATAAAGGATGAGCACTATTATACTAATGGTGGTGCAGTCACATTCTATGCGATTCCGTATCAACTGTAAATATTTGTCTTGACTTTTCTCTTGCGTGCTTTCGTATTTCTTTCTAGCAGCGACATCGAGGTTTAGGGTCCATTTATTTTCGATTTACGCTCTCGAAACTCGCGAAGGTTGGCATTTTCCCTTACGAGTGTCAGGTAAATTTGATCAATGAACCAGTTCCACTTTTAATATACCAGATATTTTATTTAATTTAACGTGTCTGTATGCGTATATCGAATAGAGATTGAATACAATTATTATTTATTTATTCATTTACCCGACTCAACTGAACTAGCTTGCTGTGACGCGATTTTTATTATTGAAAAATTTCAAATTTCTATTTCTTTTATTTATTAAAAATATACGGAGGAATCTGTTTTACGTATAATCGAAAATCAACAACGCTCAGAGCAGTTTCACGAAATTGGAGCGAGATAAGAGTCACATGGATAGATGTTGAAGCGTTTTACTGTTCTGTCAGTCAGCAATCTGATTATTAATGATAATGATTAATAGAAATAGACCAATGATCAACGTGAGTTGAAACGCTGTCATCAAAATATATTCCGTTGATGGAATTGTAAAATCAAATCTTGAGATATATCTAAATCTAATTTTACTGATGATGTAAATCTAATTGATGTGAAAGAGTATAATAATTACAATATAATACAAATTGGAACTAGCACTGTTTTATGTAATTTAGGTATCAACGGATATTTGAGAATCATTAAAATGATTGAGTACATCTTAATATTTGCTAAAAATTGTCGTTAATCGAGAAACTAAAGTTTGATAGCAGTACAAATTTTATATTTAATTGGAAAAAAGTTTCTCCATCTAAATTTTCGTAATAAAGGAATATGATTTTTGTCAGAGTTTATTTAACATTAATATAACGTTGAAATGAATTCTGCTGGTCTCTTTTCAATGACGTTTATCCCTTCAGAATAATCTTCCTTTCTTTACAATACTGTATTTATTTAAAGCGTGGAATGTACAGATATCGAAAAATTATATTGACTATTGAAACCAAATATTTAAAAATCGCGTACATATAGAGTCGTTCAGGAAAATATTCATTTGTAGGAACTTTTTGCACATATATTAAATGTTTTGGAATTTCATTAGTATTATTCATTAACGTAGGCTCAATTCTGAAAAAAATCTGAAAATACATATTTGTATAGAAAATATAAGATACATCATCATATCATTATTCCTCAATACCAATGCTTCATGCTTCAGATGGCTACACATACTGCACAAATATGTTTAATGAGTTTTGAAATTTCAATTAATGAAATTTCAAGATATTTTGTGTAACGCCTAATATGTACATACATATATTCGTAAAAGTTCTGACAAATTTAAATAAATTTAAGATTTCGCGAGCCACCTTAATAGTATCTATTGAAACATAATGTCCACAATTAATCCCACATTAAATAACAGAGTTGACGCAGATTCTATGAAAATATAAATTGAAACAAAATCCCGCGTAAATTCCACGAATACAAGATTAACGCTGCTCCAATACAAAAACGTGTGCAAAACAACACAGCCAGCTGTCGATATCCGCGCAACGAGGCATCATGGTCTCGTTCTCTACGATAATATAAATTACAACAAAAATAATTCCAAGAATTCCATTGTACAAGATTAGCGCTGTTCCAACACAAAAAACGTGAGCAACGCAAAACAGCCGGCTGCTGATGTCTGCGCAACGAGGCCTCGTTTCCTACGAACTCGCTGACAAAAAGTCTCGCCTGGTCGCTTATGAAAACAAGCAAAGCAGGCAGTGAGAATTCACGTTTCGGCCAGTCCGATGCTTAGGGTGGTTGCGTCGCGTCCGCGTCGTAATCTTGCGTGCTCGTCCGTCGTAATAGCAGTATCCCGTCAGCCGAGGCACGAGTGAAACCAGGCAGCAGCGTATTTCCCGCTGGAAGATCGAAATTAGCCGCGTTCTTGACGGTTTCCTTTTCCGCCGGCTGTGCAGCAGCACGTTGCTCGCATGTTGAACCCGGCGCGGCGTGTGCGCGCGTGTGAAACGTACCGCGAAAGTCGGATCGGTTGGAAAACCGGCGGCGGCGTAAGGGTGAGATAGAGAGAGATAGAGAGAGAGAGAGATTCAGAGACAGAGAGATAGAAAGGGAAAGAAATAACCGCGGAGGTGCGGGCGATGCTTTAGTCGGTACGGGTCGGGACTAAGAAAAGTCGAAAATCTTAATTCGGGGGCGGTGCCGCCCCCGCGATACGATGGGCGGCGACTCCTAAGCGGCGATTGGCTTGCCTCGCCAAAGGGTGAGAGATCTCCTACGGGGGTGGAGGAGATATGCGCCGCGACGCCAGGACGTCGGCGTGTGCACGTCTGGTCTGAACCGCGGCTGTCCCCTCTGTGCCCGAGGACGCCAGTCGACGCCGGGCGTCCCGTGCGTGCAGTCGTGGGAACTATCGTCGTCGTTCGACGATCGCGCGAACGTGCTTTCCAATCGTTCTTCGCACCCCTTTGGTTGATCGAGGATCGTCCTCCGTCGATCGACCGTGGTCGCGTTCGTCCCAACGTCCGTCTTTGTAAACGTAATTCCTTCGTCTCGTAAAGCAGTCTCGGTTCCCACTGTAAAGGTGAAGAGGGGTGGGTTCGATCGAAGGGACGTTCGATCGATAGCGCGCTCACGAGTCGCGATCTTTCTCGCCGCCGCGTGAACAGTGACTGATGTTAGGATGCGCTGCAGAGACGTGATCTTTTACAAAATCTTGACTTAAGCGGTGCCGTCGAGCGAAAGTGTGGTGTGGAACGTCGTGAACGATCGGCCACTGATCCGTTTCGATGGAAGGTCGTCCGGATGGGCCATCTGGAGAACGTTTCCGGCGGATGCTGATCTCACCGGTTCTCACCGACAAATCACTTTCAGATCGGAGCGGGCGTGCGTGCGCGGACGAACGCCGGTGTGGACCATTTCGCGAGTGGCAGGACGACCTTGAAAGTTCGTACGAACTGTCGGAGGAGGCGAGGGACTCTGTTGGTGTGCCTGTTCGTTGCGGATGCGGATCGTACGCGGATCGTGCTTGTGTCAACGGGTTCGCCAAGTTGCAGCGGAAAGTATTGGTGCTTGTTAGAGGTAGCAAGGAAACCGTTTCCAACGTCGTGCCCAGGATGGCCGCAATCTTCGTCGTCGTGTGCCTCCTGCTGCTGGACACTCGGCCAACGTTTGCTGCCAACAATGGTGAGTGAATTTCCTGCGTCGTTCTTCTCTCTTCCTTTTTCTTTCCAAACTTGACTGGCTCGAAATGTCTTTGGACGATTTAAAATATTGGCTCGTGTTCAATCTTCTTAGACAAGTGATCCATTGAAATTATCGTAACTTGTCTTTTCAAACGTGCTGTGTGTTATACAACTTTCTATTATACAGCGGCTGTGAAAGTATTTGCACATCTCCATTTTCCAATAAAACTATGTTTTATTAGGTTCTAAACTTTGTTCTGTATCAGTATAGTAACAAACTTTATGAAAGTACAATTGAACGATACGATAGCAATTAAGCAGTATATAAAAGCAGTATATAATACAAACGATGTGCAAACTCTTCTTACGCACGTCCACGTTATAATTCGCGTGTCCACTATTCGCCTCAACTAGCGGCTCAAATTTCCAAAAGCGCGATAAACAGCATTAGTCAAACTCTCTCTCTCTCGAAATCAATTTTCCGGCGCGGTGCTATTGAATTCCATTGACAACGTTCTCAAATGAGCGAACAGTGTCGCACCTTTGTTTCAAGATCGCAATGCAATCGCTTTCATACGCCTCGGACTATGTTGTATTATTGTTTATTTCAACTATAGGCGACGTGGCAGCCACGACGCTGGCTGGGTCATCACTGCAGACCGCTGCTCTCCGATTCGAGTTTACCTATATCGTAAACTTCATCACGATCGATGTAGATATAATAAATACAAACAGCCCGCCGTACGTTCCATCTCTTCGACCCTATTCGCCGCGCGATCCATCTATTTGAACGCGCACGTTCGATCAACGCGTAATCTCGGATTTCATTTTGACTACGTTAAATCAGGAAGCCGACAGCGGCGTAAAGTGTTGCCGGAAATTATAGCGGGTCGTAATAGAACGCGTCAGTGGGCGTGGGCGTTTCATCGGTGGGAAATAAATATCTCGCGATATCGCGGCCGGATCGATGACGATAAAAACAAAGTAGCTCCCGTCTCCGTTAATCAACTCTTTCTTTTTTGTTTTCTCCTCCCTTCCACTTTCCCGCGAAAATCGAACTGGAATTCCCATCCAAAAATTTCCAATGATGGCAAAATTTCCATCGATGGATATTAGTTAAATTGTGATTTTCGAGTGAAACGTGTACGAGCGGCGAAACAACACCGACGCTTTTCAAAAGCGTTTGTTTCGGAATAATTCCTTTGAAATCGTAAAATCGAGTGAAAGATTTGTCGAATTACGAGTATCGCGATATAACAGATCTATCTTTGTTGATTTGCGGATTTTTGTATCGTTTGGCGTATGAAAAAGCATTTCAGGTCAGTCAAGTTATTATATAATTATACAATTATAGTGTGTTAAATTATTATAATGTATTATATGTTGCACAGAATCACAAGTTTCAGTTTAATTGGTGAACGTTAACTTATTAACGATCGACGTTGCAGTATGTCATTTGAAATTCTTTTTGAAAATCGACCTATACCATCTATATTTTAATTCTATACTTTAATATCGGAGCCACGAGAAGAAATTTCAAGAATCCACTTGCTTGATTCTTGATGGATTAAACGATTGAATTTTCATTTTGTTCCTTCGTATTATAGAAAATGAAAAACGCGAAGACTCTATTTTTCCCTCTCGTATCTGAAAGCGAATAATTTTTAAGATTAATTTCGCCTGTTATGAACTTAACAGTTCATTAATAATTCAATCGTTTTGCTCTTTCGCATAAAGACGGGAGACACGTTGTAAATAACCGAACACACGTTGTAAATAATAAAACAGCTATTGGAAAAGCGGCTCAGAGAAATCACTATTAAAAATCGTTTACACCGAATTTTTACGAGAAACACACTCACACGCACAAAAAAAAAAAAAATAAAAAAAAAAAAAAAAAAAAAAAAAAAAAAAAAAAAAATAAAAAAAAAAAAAAATAAAAGAAAAAAGAGAAAGAAAACTACAATCAGAGAATCTTTCTGCCTGTTAGGATCCATCCACGCGAGAATAAACTCATCGAGTGAATTCACACGCGACTGCCGTGTAAATCATTCATTCGAAGTTTTACGTACCTGCATCACGTATGATTTTCAGCGGTCGGAGGCTCATGACGAATGACGCTATAAAAGTACACAGTCACGTATTAACGGTGGCTGTTCTTCGCGCGACCGAATACCGCCGCTCGTAAATATGCAATCAAACGTTGAGCGCCGGAGAACGGAGCAGAAGAGAGAGAGAGAGAGAGAAAACGCACCGAGTTAAGCTTGAATATTTGAACGGACCTTAATGACACGTGCAGCGCGTGCCGTGTGCTCTCGTAGAAATAATTCAGACGCGCGAGCGTGTAAGCTAGATTTATGCGTCGCTTTCGTTCGAGCTGCTGCTTTCAAATCTCCCGTTTCTCACGAAATTTTTCTCGAAACTGCCCTCGGGAGGGTATCAAAGCGAAAAGAAATCCTCTCGCCGCCGAATCGTTTGGCCAGTCGCCTAAACACTCAAAGAGTATTACCCCTCCGGTGGTAATTCAATTCTGGCCATTTTCGCGCGTTAAATTCATCCCGCGAACGGCGAAACAATCTCTGGCCGAGAGTCCTTTGTCCGCGGGACGTGTCGAGCAGAGTTCCTTTGTACTCTACGTTGCGCAGATAGTTCTGCAAGCAGCGATGGTCATGGTCTTCCAGTCGGCGCGTTGCGGCGCCCTGTCGCAAAAAGCTCGTTTCGGTTCTAATACCGAGGCCGGTGAAATTACACTTCAATGGCGAAATTGCGGCCGGGAATGAGCTACTAGATCACCGCGCCTTCCTATGCATAATTCATAAGCGAGGCGTCACGGCGAAACCGCCGGTGATAAATATTTTTTGAAGGCGGAACGTGACGTAAAAGTGCATGCAAATGAATTGGCCCTAATGTAGCCGTGGCGCTATACTCGCACGCTGTTCGAGGCACTTTTCTTTCGCGTCACCCCCACTCGCCAGTTTCGGTCCTCAGCTGGTCGACTTTCGTCGGTGTCTCGCGCGTTTAACTTTCGGCAATTAACATTTTTCGCGGTCACGGGGACGCGAACCACGCGCCGCGCTCGATAATAAATTCCGTGGTAATATAGTGCGGTCGTCAGTGACACGGTGGCTCTCGTCGTTCGAACCCACCTTCTGTTTGTCTCCCTTGCCGTCTTTTCCTTCTGTTTCCCCTCCCCACTGCGCCGTTTCACTTTTCGTCGTCTCGTTTGTTTTCCCGTTTGTTTTCTCCCGCCCGCTTTGCTCCCCGATTTCGCTTTCTCACTCCGGCATTTCCGTATTCGCGGCACGATGATTTACCGACCGCCGCGGCTAAGAGAAAACCGGCGTGGTAATTCTCGCGTTTGCCCGTTCTCCACGCGTTATTCATACGTTGTCGAGTAATTCGCGATATGTTTCGTTTTCGCGACTATTTTATTACCCGGCGCTGTTGCTGCCGCACCGAGCCGAGTTTCGTCCCGGAGATTAACGGCAGTTAACCGAAACCGCGGTGCTTCTCCTTCTGCGTTTCACTAGCTTTTCTTGAATTTCCTTGATTCGAATCTTACGTTTCGCGCCACCACTGGCGAAACTGGTTTTCGATCGTGAGTATGAAAAAACATCTAAAATTCACTGAAACGTGTTCGTGTTCGTGACTCGAATTGAAATTGCTGATTTTATTTTATACGCACCAAGCAAACACAATAGTATTTTATTAACTGAAATGAATTCAACAAGCGTCGTATCATAGTTGGCTTAACAAATCACTTTGTTAATTTTCTTAAATACAGCTAATTAAGATCAATGCTGTTTCTTTATCAACAGACTAAAATATCCATAACTAAAACTGAATTTCTTTCAATGAAAATGAAATTTTAATCATTCTTTCTCCAACATTGAAATTTAAATTTCTTGACGAAGCTCTGTCCCTTTTTTTCACGCGTTTATTCTTTTGAGATGGCCGGAATTTTCGAAAAAAATCGAAAATGTATGCCTCGATAATAGCTCGTTACTTCATTTTTATCCATGAATATATCAAATATATCAAAGCTACATCCCCCGGACATCGTGGTTATTCGATGGCCGGTGAATCCAAGAGACTTTAGCGAAATAATGCGCATATATCGAACAACGTTTCGTACCGTCGACGTTTTCTGAATGCAATCGTTTTTACGACCGTTTCACTGGCCATATTGCCGGTTTTTCGAAGTCGAAAGCACGGAAGCGCCATTATCATGCACTCGCTGACCGCCGATCGAACGCGTATTTTATGCGGTGATTATTCAATTCCCATGCTCTCTCTCGTACTCGCTACTACCTACGGAGCACTTTGAATCGCTTGAATCAAATTAGAAATCGTGGTTTTGAACGTGTACTGAAATGAACGTGGCACGTGTGTTAATAAATCTTTTACTACGATATTCAGTACGTATCCTTTAGTTTAGGAAATCCTCGAAATCTTATATAAAATATTTAATATTTGAAACAAATATATCACATAATAGTGTATATTTAGTGTATATTTATATATAATACCTACATGCATACGATATTCGAATCTTTTAAAGCTCCTGAAGATTTTGAACATCTTGATAGATAATGAATATTCAATATTTTACAATCATTTTTAATGCTTCACCTCAAATGCAATATCGTTAACGTAACACATCGAAGCAAATCTTAAAAGATATACCTACGTCAATATATGTCAGTTACTTTCAGAATTCAAGACTAACCAACACCTTCAAGAATTTTAAATTATATTTAAACTATCAAATTATATTTGAAGTGATTCGACTTTCCACAGTATTGAAGAACTTCGTACTAACCGAATGAAACTCGAATGTCGATCACTATTCAACGAGAGCACGAAAGAACGGATAGTTCCTAGAACGGACAATACAGAAATGCTCTCATTGTTTTACTACCAGATCTCGCGACGAACGACAAGTGAAACGGTTTTCGGGATCGATTCGGCCGCTTTGTTCCCAGCACGTTTAAGTCGGCA